CCCCTTCTCATTACAGAGATGCACATCACCTGATATGCTTAATTGGTAGTGGGCTTTCGAGCCTATACAGCTTGGAGTAAGACAACGTGCATAAAGAGGATGATGTGGTCAAAATACTCATTTGCCTAATAGTTCTGCACTCTGCAGTATATATGTGTGTATATATATATCTACATACATACATATATATATACACACATATATACTGTATATATTACACAGAAAAACACTGGTGTAAGTTAATCACTACAGATGATTATATATTATATGAAGAAACTCTTGGCAGCGGTTTTACACTCCTGACATACAAACATCATTCATTGGTACAATATACTGCAACTGGGTCAGAGTATCAGATAAATAACAGCTCATTCCTAATCCTACCTTAGCAGTGGAGCCATTGTATGAATTGTAAAACCTACTGTGAATACATATGTAGGTCACCCAAATTAGTATAATAAATTCTGTAAACCTCACCAGTATTAGTCAAAAAATAAAAGAAAAGCCTAAAAAGAAAACACGCTAAAAATACACGATTTTTTTCCTTTCCCTTTTTAACATTGTCAATTTTTTTTTATTATCTGACACTAATAAAAACTCAAAAGGCAATTACCTTCACAACATTCAACAGGAATGTTCTGTCCTTCACACACTGCTGTAAACACTACTTCAATATAAATCCCAGTTTCAAAAATAAAAAATACAAATTATGCAGAAAAATATCCTTTAATTCTCGCGTGTGCTTACACAAACCACCCTGAAGGTGGTGCAGTTCATGATAGAGGTCATTTTTTTTTCCCATAGTGTTTCATTGTCATTCCCAGTAAATGGGATATAAGATGTCGTAGTGCAGTTTGTCACTTACTCTGACCAGGAATGTAGAAAGGAAAGGTAACAGGTAAGTTCTTCAAAGAAGGCCACTCTGGACTTGGTGCTCTGAAGTGTCAGCTGTTAAGGAGATGGAAAATTTTTTTTAATTACCTGTATGTAATGTGAGAGTATACAACAGGAATAATTACTTACAATAAAATACAATGGGAAGAGAATATACATAAGGAAATCATGCATACGTTTCCACACTCATGTTGTGAAATATTTTTTTAAAGCCTGCCAGAGAAGTCCTTTACATTTTTACATGCAGCATTGTAATTGTTTTTCCCATACATCCCACATTTTTAATCACATTAATAAGTATATACGGAGACCGTGATAGCTTAAAGAATGCTCATAAGTGCAAAAAGTTCAAAAAAATACTATAATACCAAGAAATGTAATTTGGTTCAGTTAGAGATATACATAAAATAATAATTCAAAATAAATTTTTAACAAAATAGCGATAAAATCTCTAAAGGTGTCTTATAAGTAATTATAAGCAAATATATCATAAACATACATACATTATATAAAAACATATACTGTATATATATTTATACATACATTTATTATTATTAATTATTATTTAATTAGTATATATTTATACAGAATATAGACACATATACATACACTCACCGGCCACTTTATTAGGTACACCATGCTAGTAACGGGTTGGACCCCCTTTTGCCTTCAGAACTGCCTCAATTCTTCGTGGCATAGATTCAACAAGGTGCTGGAAGCATTCCTCAGAGAGTTTGGTCCATATTGACATGATGGCATCACACAGTTGCCGCAGATTTGTCGGCTGCACATCCATGATGCGAATCTCCCGTTCACTCAAATCACTTTTCTTCCCCATACTGATGCTCGGTTTGAACTGCAGGAGATTGTCTTGACCATGTCTACATGCCTAAATGCACTGAGTTGCCGCCATGTGATTGGCTGATTAGAAATTAAGTGTTAACGAGCAGTTGGACAGGTGTACCTAATAAAGTGGCCGGTGAGTGTATATTGCTGTAGTACAATCAGATTTAGGTACTGACAGTTGGTGACCTACCATACTTCTCTCTGGGTCCGTTGTAGTCAAACACTTTGCCTTTCCTGAAGATCTTCAGGGTAGGATAACCTGAGACTCCAAAACGTGAGGCGAGCTCACTCTCCAAGGTGGCATCAACCTTGGCCAGAGGGATGGGAGGACTTCTCTCGCTCAGCTCCTTGGCTGCCTTCTCGTATTCTGGGGCCAAGCGCTTGCAGTGCCCACACCTGGAGGCCAGTTACATGAGGAGAACCTTTTAGGAACTGGTTTAAAACATCTGATATTCACAATAACAATTAAAGCATCCTTTCTGACCATGGGGCGTAGAACTCCACCAGGATGATGTCTGCATTGTTTACTGTCTCATCAAAGTTGTCTTTGGTCAGCACCAGCGTGGCCTCAGGTGGAGGTTTCCAGTCAGGCAGAGACACTTCTTTCACTCTCTCAACGATGGCTGTAGCAAAACACAAGTTCACACATGTCACTTCCATACTGTATAAGGACAAGAGTGTGTCCGTGCTGAACGACTATGTGCTTTTACCGCTCTGTGACCGGTCTCCGTCGTAGTCCAACGGCTCCCCGTTCTTGAGGATCTTGATGGTGGGATAACCCGACACGTCGAACTTGCTTGCTAAGGTAGTGGCTACTGTTGCGTCCACTTTAGCCACAGGTATGGGAGGATCGTTCTCCTTCAGAGTCTGTGCAATTTTTTCATACTCTGGCGCAAACTGCTTGCAATGACCACACCTGAGAGGATGTTTTCACCAAGTAGGTTAAGAATTGAAATTGGTATTTTTAAGATTCTTTATTCATTCATTGGTGGTGCTGAAGAGGTTAAACTTACCACGGAGCATAAAACTCCACTAAAACTGTGTCCTTTCCCTCAATAAAAGTTTCAAAGTTGTTGTCAGTGAGAACTAGAACCCCATTCTCTTCTTTCACTTCTGTGTCATCATCGTCATCATCATCGTCGTCATCATCTTCGTTATCATCATCATCATCATCATCATCATCATCAGCATCATCATCACCACCAGAGAATCATCTTAGTTGTTTTTGTGTTGTTTTCAAACACCGTCTTTGTCCTCATCGCTGATGTTGTTTTTTTATTTTCATGATTTTATTTACTTTAAATCAAAATTACGTTTAAGTTTAATGTCCTTGAGTGGAAAACGACAACCAGAAATATTTTGATTCTTTTTTCTTTCCTGAAATGATTTTTGTCCTATTCGCTTATTTTTCGTTACTTTTTAAACATTTTCTGATTTTTATTTTTTTAACACACATTATTATTATTAAGTGGGTGAATCCAGTTATAATGACCAAAAATAAAACTTATTTTTAACGAGTTTTATTTTGAGGTTTTGGAAATAGTTTCAAAATATGTTTCAAGATTTTTTTAAAATGACATATAATAATAATAATATAGTTAAAATCGTAAAAAGAAAAACAGAAAGAGGAGAAATATACTTTGTTTTTATAGTCAAATGTCGTAATTATTTAATTCAGGTTTAAATATGTTTCTGTATATAGTTTTAGTGTTGATCTATATTCGTTTTACAATTACCTACAGCGTAATAATGTTTACATTTTAAGCTTTATATTTTACATATTTAATAGTTTTTATTTTGAAAGCTAAAGTATACACTGTATCACCCTCTGTTAATGATATTTTCAAAAACACAATTTTTGATCGATTTTATTTTATTTTGTTTTGTTCAGTTTGGTCGATTTTTAACTCTCTTTGTATTAAACCTACTCGAATATGAAAATAAAACGGTAACGCACTATTATTACGAACAAGTCAACATTTTCCCGTTAAAATTGTAGGTTTTTACCCAAAGTATTTGTGGAGTAAACAGGTCAAATGTTGAAAAAGACATGTCGTCTGTGTGTATATATTTACATATGTGTGTAAAATATAGAAAATTATGGGTGAAAAAAACATATAACTTAATGTATTACTGTTAATACCGTCAAAAATATAACAATACATATAACATATATAACATATATAACATAACATATATTGATATATTTTTTTAATTTTATTTTAATGATGTACTTTTTACTATTTCTTGCAGCTGCTTAAACGTTTAGTTTGAACTGGTTTTTAGCATACTACTTTTTTTTTCCTTTTTAACCAATTAAAGTTTCCTCCGCTTCTGTAAATTGCTAGCCTCTTGCCAGACACTCATAGAGTCGTTGCTCAGCATGTGGGGTGAAGGTGAGACTATTCAAAGGTGGAGAGAAAGGAGAAACAGCCAGAAATAAATATAACATTAGGACAATGTTTTTCAATGTTTTTTCTTGGGATTGTGGCCCCACATGGGGTCGCCTGGAATTCAAATAGGGTCACGTAAAATGTATAATCACATACGTGTATTTACATTTAAACTGAATTTACAAATATATCAGCCGGATAAACATATCAATATACTGTAAAAATTTCACATTTCACTCAACCCTAGTATACTATGAGAATAAAAATTATTAACTAATAAACAAACCGGGCTAATTAATCAGGAAGTTGTACTGCAGTAGTCAACTCTAAAGACTGAGGCAAACACATAAGAGGTGGTGATGATGAATTCTGGGATTCCCCATGCCATTAAGTCACGTACGTCTGTGTGCACCAGTGAGCATGTGTATGCCAAAAGTAATGGTCCTGCTCCGGGGAGGGATGACCTCACCCCTGCAAACCCCCTCAGGGACCAGTGAGCTCAGTTAATGGTTGCTGTCGTTCTGACAGGCCAGCAGCTTTGTTTATCAGTGGAAAATGTAATCCTCATACTTTGTAGCCCTTCTGCCTCTCTACCCAGCAAACACACACCACACACCACACACCTCGGCTTCACCTGCATTGATATCCCGGTCGTTCAATGTCTGCGTTTCCAGACATGTTCTTCCGCCTCAGGCCAGATCAACACCCACGTGCACATGATCACCTAAGGAAACCCATTTAAAACCTTTTGAATACTGAACAGCTTCACACTGTGACCCTTTAGCACCGCTACGACGGGCCCTGAAGTACGTGACGGTCATTTAATTAGCCAAACATTTAAAGAAGAAAATTAAAATAAAAAATACAATTGCAATGGAAACAATTATTTATAAATATTCGTAATTAATGATAGTAACAGTTCATGTGAATACATAAAAAGTAAAAAATGTATAATTTTATTTAAAAAATAGGTATATAATTGATGACAAAATTATATTTTATATTATATTTAAATATTTATATATTTATATTTTAACCATATTTAAGGGACGACTCGATCCAATATCAGTCCAATATTGGTCAAAATATCAGGATCAAAAATTAGAACAAAACAACTCTAATTCAATACTTCCAAATGCTCAACTTGACTTTGCACGACGTGCTGTAAACAGGGACACTGTCACCTTAGCAACAGCAGCCCAAGACATGTTGGAGGAGAAAAGAAGTTATCGGATTGATATCAGTATCGACAGATACTCCATGTTGCAGTATCGGTATTGGACATATACACGAAAAATGTTGAATCGAGCTATCCCTACTGTCAACTGGAAGAAATGTCAAATCAATGACTTCCTACCCTGGATTTGAAGGCCAAGAGAATCTTGGGCAGAAAGAGGATGAAGCACTTCACACCAATGGTCACATACTTCAGGACAAAGTCAGTGATGCCCACCGCCCAAATCAGATCAAAGAAATCGAAGCTGTTCAGGTTGGGCTTGGCAAATATGAGGCTGTAAAAAAAAAAAAAGGATTGAACTGTCAGAAGAGTGTTTTGGTTCAAAGAGAAGATGAGTAACAAACAACAGCAAACAGATGTTTAAAATATGACAAAAAAAATCTTAAAATATGAAATAATCAAATGATACTCACAAGAACAAGCACAGGAACAATCCTTAAAGGAAACAAAAGAAAAAAAAAACCAACATAAAATTAACTACTAAATTAAATGACGACATACACATAAAAAACAACGAAGAAACATAGAAAAAGGTACAAATTAGGGCTGTCGTTGCATTACTTTTAAATGTTCAACACATTTTTATTTTTATGTTCATTAGGACAATTTGTGCCCACACATTTGTGTTCAATGAAGCAACTCAAGCTAAAAATACCAACTCAACTCCTCTCAACAGCGTACATTTGCGGAGGCTTCAGCTTCAGGGCAACGCCTGACTTTTGTCACACCAGCCTCACCAAGCAAAAGGCAGTAAATAAGCAATCATGATTGATCATGATTAATCGACAGCTACTCTGTGATTAATCACTTGAAACATTTTGTTTCATAGCCCCAGAAAATAAATAAAAAAATTATAAATGTCCATAAATAATCTTTTTGTGCTCATTTTTATTTATTACCTGTTGTAAAGCTCCTCCTGACTGAACGTGTAGTAGGTATACACAATATTTCCAGAGAGGAAAATTAAAATCCACAGAGCAACAAATACAGAATGCTTCTCTTGGTGAAAAGGAAAGAACACACAGAATTCAATGTTATTATTGCAAAAATAAGTATTGGGTTTTTTTTCTTTGTTTTTTGACAGTGGTGACGAAACTGACATGTGGATGCAATAAAGGCTTTAACAGTTAAGTTTTAACATTGGGTGGCTTCAATGAATAAGGTAACAACACAGACAAACAGTTTACAAAAATAATCAAATTTATTAATACAACACTGTCAAGTTAATGACAGTGATTGAACTCATAAACAATGATCACAACAACAAAACAAGGCATAAGTGTGTGTGTAGGTGTGCTTGTGTACACGAGTGGTCGTGTAAGAGAGAGAAAGAGAAAAGATGTTGCCTCTTAGCTACCAAGCAAGCGACTGAGCTCTTGAGGCGTGTTCACATACGCGACTGTGCAGTAGTGATGGGAAGACCAACTCTTTTTATTGATTCGAATCTTTGACTCTCGAACAGTAAAATGAACGCGTCGTGAACGAATCTTGAACTAATCATTTCATTCGTTTTACAGCAGGTGGCGCTTTAGCCCTATTGTGGGCGTTGTAAAG